ATCGAACTCATGTGGAAGTGGCTTTAGCTTCTCAGTGCAGTGCTTTAACCCGCTGCGCCACCAGGGAGGGCCCAATAAATAAATCTTAAAAAAAAAAAGATGTAAAGTTTGAGGAAAAACCAGCAAGAGCACAAATAGCACAGAGAAAACAGGTAGCTTAACCAGCGGCCTCAGGAGTCAGTGGCCAGTGCTGGGCTGAGGCAGTAGAGAAAGTTGTGGGGTCAAGGAAGCTTCTTGTGAAGTTCAGGATTCTCAGGCAGAAGGGGAGGGAAAGCTCAGATGCCCCTGCTCTGTCAGGAGGCTAATTGTGGCCCAGAACCCAAAGGAAACTCATGGGGGTGAAACAGAGGTGCAGGCTTTTACTGGCAGCTTGTTTTGCAGTCCTGAGTGGACTGGGTGTGTCCTGTGGTCACTTCACCAGGCAGTGTGATGCCCCTGGTGAGAACAGAGCTGACAGATGCCTGCCGAGCTGGTTCTGTCCCTGGCAGGACACTCTTTGGACAGAAACACTGGAGTTTGCATGCTAAGGCCTGGTTTAGGGTACATGGTACATCTAATTCCTTTTGTTCAATCATAGCAAAGAGGGCTGGTATAGGTGGCTAATAGATCACTCAGCATCTGTACACTATTTTGTTTGCCTTTCGTAAAGGGAACAGGCTTGTAGATCTTATGGGTTCATTTTTACCCATAGCCAATAAAAACTTTCAGCAGTAGGGCCTCCCTAGTAGGGCTCAAGGGGTTAAGTCACACACTGTGAAGCTATCCACAGCCTCAGTTCGATCCCCAGCCAAGAAGCTGACCCACATGGCGCAACAGACCTCTCCTGTCTCGCTTGATGCTACCCTCAGCGTGTATTTCAGTAGATCCACCTACTCTGCTCCCCACTCTGTCTCTGATTAATCCTTTCAACCCCACACCCCCATATTTCTCACCTACACCCCAGGTCTTGTATGCATAAATAAATAAAACATATCTTAAAAAAAAAAAGCCTTCAGCAATAAGTGCCCCTTTAAAAGATAAACACCTCTGGTAGGATTTTTCTTATGGCCCTTATAATAAACAACTTGAAGTATATATTTCTCCATTTGTCTTTATCGATCAAATATAGATAGAAATCAGTGGCTCCATAAAGTACTTTCCACCATAATAGGCAGAGGAAATGAATGGAAAAAGGCAGAATGTCCCAGAAAATCCTGATATTCTAAAATGAGAACAAACTGTTGAACACCATTTTACCTCTATAGTAGACACAACCTTTATTTAAGTGTCACTATATTGACACTTAGGTGAGCTAGTCCTAGGTGAGCTAGTATTTATTATTTTACTCTTGGGGACACATTTAGAAGGAAACTATCTTTGCTCTAACAACTATATTTTCATGTATCCAACAGCATTGAAGAGTTATGGCAGAATGTAGCTGATTGTTCCAAAGGGCACGAAGACAAGCACCAGCGAGACCAGCACTCTCAGTTAGGTAAGAGTCTTGTTGAGCTCCTACTTGTACTTTTCTTGTCAGTTTTTTTGTAGAGGTGCTATCTTTCGTAAGAAATCCTGACAACCTTCAGTGATTGCTTTTGGCCTTGCAAATAGCATGAATGCATCAATATTTTTCAGATGATGCTGCCAGCAGCAGGGATACTCACAAAGAGGGTCTTTTCCAGCACTTTTACCAAGTGATTCAGAAAGAGCGTGATCGAGAGAGGTCTTCAGATTGCATTATTGTTTCCATGGACAAAGAGCAAAGGTAGATTTATTTTTTTCGAGGCATCAGATGAAACACAGACCGAGTATTTCAGTGTTGGCCTTGAGTACGCACACCTCTGAGAGCTGAGCTCTGGAAATGCCCTGTTACATCACTGCCGTCGGGCTTACCACACCGGGGGTCAAAGCGGCCTGTGAGTGGATGATTCCTGAAGGTTCTACCTTATTCAGCTTTTCTGTGTTGCTTCAGTTTTCTATGATTTTGTAACTGTAGGGAAAAAAGCACTTACCTGTTTCACAGTCAGGAAGTGGAAAGCTGTTTTCCAGCTCAGGGCCACATGCCAGGGGCCCTCCTAGGCTCCAGGGATACTTGACAATGTACCTGCTTTGGGCACTGACATGAAGTCAGCCTTACTGAGCTTTCAGAGACGCTTCCTTTCATTTCCTCGTTGCCTTTCCTCGTTTCCAGCCATGAGAACAGGAGACATGCACAAGACAGAAATCAGTATTAAGGCAACATTGGCTTTCTCACTGTTTACGTGAAAATCTACAATCTTAAAATGCCTCACATTTTGATTCTATGATAGCTCCTTTATAAAAATTAATTTTATTTGTAGATAGCGCCTTTACTGTAGAAGTGGGTGAAAGCAGAATTGTCACTCCACCTCATCTGGAGGCTATTTGGGCTGGATGTTGGGTGGTAGCACACTGAAAGAAATGAGGTCAGTCACTGCCTCGGGCAGGTGGAAGAGGCCTATTCCTTTTACACTAGGAAATTGTGAACTTTTCCTTTAATAATTGAAGGACAGGGCCCCTCCCTGGTGGTGCAGCAGGTTAAAGCACAGCACTATGAAGCTCTCTGCAGCCACTGCACTACAAGTTTGATCCCTTGCCGGGGAGCTGACCCACATGGCACAGCAGAGCTCTGCTGTCTCACCCGCTCCTCCGCTCAGCAGTGTATTTCAGTCAGTCAGTCTGCCTGTTCTGGCCTCCACTCTGTCTCTGGTGAATCCTCCACACCTCTGGCCTGTACCCCAGTTATTTACCCAGTTCTGAGTAAATAAATAAATCTTTATTTAAAAAAATGGAAAGATCACCAGAGGTGCCTGGGCTGATCTGGTCAGGTGGTCATTTAAGTCAGTTCTGAACTCAGAGGCAGCAAACACTCAGCGCCCAGAGCAGCTTCTGTCCCCTCAACATTCAGCAACGTGCCGTGACACTCTGTGCCTTCCAGGGAAGCTACTGTGTCTGTGGCTAAAGGAGCGTTAGAACTCACACAGGCGTCTCACCGGACTAGTGGCATCTCGCGCTTCTGATCTGGCGCTTCTGATCTGATCTCACCACTGTGACATTGTTACTGCTTTGCCAGTTCCAGCGTCAGGTAGTACCCTGAGTGCGGTGTTTAGTGGGGGAGCTTACGTCTCTTCTGCTCCCTATCGGGGGAAGCGGCCCCTCCGGCCCCCACAGCTCCACCTGTCTTCTGCGATTGCGGCCTCTGCTGTGAGAGGGTGCCAGGCACCCCTGCTTTGCAACCTGCATCTGCCGGTGAGCCCGGGCCTGAGCCACGCTGCTCGGTCTGTTGTTGCTTTGATGTCAGAAATATTTGTAGTGATAAATTATTTGATTAATTCATTCCTTTATACTCCAAAGCAGTAATTAATTTATTGCCGTGTCATCCAATATGAATTATTTTTGTGATAATTTTGACTCACAGACCATCACTCTGTCAATAGGAACCTCTGTTTGAACCACATCATGTTTGTCTTGTTCCCTTCTTGAATTTATTTTTCTGAAATAATTCCTACTCTCCTAAGTTTCCAGGAAAGCATTCTTCCCTCATGATATTAATTTTTAATTCATTTGTGTATACATTTAGTACTTGTTACTGGTAAAGGTCTGGGCTAGGCAGAGGGAGGAAAAGTGCAGATGGCAAGCTAGTCTATAAAGGGCCTTCCCTGGCGGCCCAGGGGCCACGGTCTCAGCACTGTCAAGCTGTCCACAGCCACTGCAGCATGAGTTCGATCCCCAGCCAAGGAACTGACCCACATGGCACAGCAGACCTCTCCTATCTCGCCTGCTGCTCCCCTCAACGGTGTATTTCAGTAGATCCACTTGTTCTGCTCCTCACTCTTGTCTCTGGTGAATCCTCTCACCTCTCCGCACCTCTGGCCTACACCCCAATTCTCTTGTGCATAAATGAATAAAAATAGGTCTTTGAAAAAAAGATAATGTGTACATAAATAGCATCTCCCAGGAATTGTTCCTGCCTGTGTGAAATATACAGAGGAGGAAGAGTGAGGCACCATGGTGGGTCTGAGGAGAGGAGTGCATCAAGGCTTCAGCGGCTAATGGCATCTGAGTTAGGCCTTTGAGGCAAAGACAGCTAAGGACCCAGCTAACACGGTGGCAGGGAGGGCACAGTTGGGGAAAGGCGGGGGTTGCCAGAGAGCCCGAGGAGTTAAATTTGGGAAGATAATAAAATGATTGAAGCACAGTAGGTCACAGAATCTTTTAGTATGCATTGGAGTGGTGTCTTGCCAGTGCTTTGAGTGCTAGGCTGCGGAGTTTAGGATGTTAAGCAGTCACTGTGGCATTTTTGAAAGTAGCACTTTTCACACTATTACTCAGGAACCTGAGGATGGAAGATGTGGTGGGAGGTGTTGCAAGGTTCCGGAGCAACTGTTAAGCAGGAGTGGAAGCACAGATCTAAAAGAAAGGTCCAGGGTAGATTCCCCGGGACTTCTGAACGGAGCCTGAGTGCCCAGGAAATGAGCAGTTCTGAGTTTTGATCCAAGATCAGTTCATCCAACATCAGTCAGATTCAGGTTGGTGTTGACTGAGACAGTGAACTCCAGGGCTGCTTCTTGAAGGCTGTAGCAAGGAGTTGTAGTGAGGGGTGGTGATGCTCCGGCAGCTCCTGGCTTACCCCAGAAACTACTGTACATGAGCAGTCTCTCATTTTTCTGAAATGAGTAGTGTCGTCTGTGTCTTAAGCTACTGAAAACTTTCATGGCCTTTAAATTGAAATGACTTCATCAAATAACACTTTAATGATTCTATTTTGAAAACCTGGTGACCACATTCATGGTGTTTACCTAGTATATAAACTAGTATATCGTGCCACACAAAAACACAACTTTGAAATACTCTGCTTTCTTTATAAAATTATGTACATAGTCAATCATATGAGGATGTTATATAGCCAAAAAAGTAAGTTTCTTGGGCCCTCCCTCGTGACACAAGGGGTTAAGATGAAGCACTATGAAGCTATCTGTAGCCACAGCAGCATGAGTTCGATCCCCAGCCATGGAGCTGATACAGCAGGCCTCTCCTGACCTGCCCGCTGCTCCCCTTAGCAGTGTATTTCAGTAGATCTACCTGTTCTGCTCCCCACTCTGTCTCTGGTGAATCCTCTCACGACCCACATCTCTGGCCTACACCCCAGCTTATGTTTGCATAAATAAATTAATTTTAAAGGTTTTTTTGAGTCACAGTTGCCTCAAATAAAAACAAGTTGTAGAGAATGCATAATTTTTTAAAAAATATCCTGTCTTCTACCTTAGGTACCTTCTCACCTAAGCACAGTAAAAACATATAGTATCTTACCCTTCACATAAATTTGGGGCATATCAAAGTGTTTGAGGAACAATTGCTTGATGACACAGATATTTCTCCTTTTGTTTGAAGAGCCTGAATTCTTTGATTGAAGTAACCTTTTTCTTGTATGTGTGTATTTTTTAAGGGAATATGCTACCATCATAGGTCACCGGTTGCAGGATCACGGCCTTGTGGTGGAAATGATTCACCTCTCCTCCGAGTCGGGTCTCAGTCGTGCGCTCCAGGAAGTTAAAGATGATGGCTCTCCGTTCTGTATTCTTGTTGAACAGTCTAATGTAAAACTTTCCTCTTGCACCGTAATTATGCTTCACGAGTCTGTCAAAAGTAAGTTTAGCTTAATCTAGAACTATTACTTAATAGAGATCCTGCTTTAAAATTTTCTCTTTGTACACTGAAACACTTTGAAGATTCACACTCATCAGTGACCAAATTGTATCAAGTTGAGGGAAAATAACTTGAGTTGGTACCGCAAAGTACTCTACTGTGTTCTATAGACAACTGAAGTTTAAATTGTTTTCACCCACTTCTTATTTAGGAAAGTATTTCCTTCAAAATATTATGGCACCATATCAGTTCTCATGTAAAGGAATTTTGATTAAGTCTCTTACTACCTTTTCTTCTCTTAGTGATCAGTCAAAAAGACACTGTGTTTCTTCTCCCCTCCATTCGCTCAGATAGCTTTTCTTGCCAACTTTGCTTTTTCTATACCTCACCCATTTCTTTTCCTTATGCTCACCAGGATGATTCCTTTCTTCCTCCCTAAAATACACAGACTTAGACAGACGTACATGTCATAAATCACCATCATCTTTTCTCATATGGTTAGAACTGCTGCTTCAAGAAAGGACTGGTCTCCTCTGTGGAGGACATTTTGACGCTCACTGACCATCAGAGCCAGAGAACCCGGAAGCTCTTTGTGCAGCTATGTTTAGTCCAGATATGCTGAACACGTCCTGTGTGCCCGGCACTATCCAGATGGCAGGCTTCTCCAGCAGGCCCTGCACCCAGCTCAAAGTTCCTAGCAGTGTAGGTTTATCGTTTCTAAGTCCAGAGACCTATCCTTGGGCCAGAGCCCTTGGGGAGCACAATTTATAGCTGGATTTACATCCTACCTAGAGCTTTTGGAGCCTGCAAAGACGTCAGTTAAGCTCGAGGGTCTATATTGTGACCCTAATTCTGGGTCTAAAATGATGACAGAGAAGAACACGTGTGCTCCATCATCTTGGGGTGCCAGGACTTCTCTCCTCTGACCAGTCCTAAGCCACCCATACCCCCATCCAGCTCTTGCTCATTTCTTTTCTCAAAAAATGTGAAAGTTCAGTTTTTTTAAGCATAAAAAATTGACCATTTTCAATAATAAGATGAAATCACTTATGCCATCCATATTCTGAACAATATGGATGTCAAAGAAAATGCATGCCTTTATAGGAACCCTAGACTCTTGGGGTGGAGCGGGGAACAGGTGATGCAAAATTGCCTGTTAGATCTGGTAACCCAAGTGTTCTGCAAATTACTTATGTTCAGATTATCAGCAAATTATCACCAAAGTAAGTAGATTTGCTCATTTCTTTTCTCAAAAATGTGAAAGTTCAGTTTTTTTAAGCATGAGAATATTTAATAGCACTTCAGAAACTATACTCTCTATTTATACCATGTTGAAATTCAGAAAATAGTTTGTGACCAAGGTAGTATCAATAGGTGCAGACTTCATTGATCATCTGTGAATTTAATTACTGAGCTCAAATTGTAAGTCATCATAAGTACTTTTTCCTATGAATTACATTGATTTTGGTAAAATTAATCTTAGCTGGGCTCTCTTTCACGTGCTTTATAGTCAACAGTTTCATTCCTTGCATGTATCCTTACTTAGAAGTGTGTGGAGCAGCTTTTGTGCCGAGACAAACATTGAAAATGGTCAGTGAAACTTCAATGCCTGAAGGCAAATACATATTTATATTTTTTCCTAAATATAACCTTCATAAGCACAGCCAAAATTTAGCCTGAGACAGTACTCTCCATGGTCTTTCCATTGTGCCCCTTGGGTCCTGAGTTTGTCAGAGCCCAGTAATGTATGTTATAAGACAGGGTAGTGGGTTGCCACCTGAGATGAAAATCTTTATTACACCTTATTCCAGTGCATGAACTTGGGAGAGATCAGCACCTGTATATTGACGATGGCCTTTAAGTTCTGTCCAAGAGTCTCTCTGTGCCTAGACTTTATTTTATTTTATTTTTTTTAAAGATTTATTTATTTATTCGTACAGAACTGGGGTACAGGCCAGAGATGCGGAGGGTGAGAGGATTCACCAGAGACAGAGCGGGAAGCAGAACAGGCAGATCGATGAAGTACACTGCTGAGGGGAGCAGCGGGCAGGTCAGGAGAGGTCTGCCGCGCCATGTGGTCACCTCCGGGGCAAGCGGGGATCGAACTCATGCGGAAGTGGCTTTACTTTCTCAGTGCAGTGCTTTAACCCGCTGCGCCACCAGGGAGGGCCGCCTAGACTTTATTTTATATGTGATATTAAGGACCGTTTCTACTACTGACTTGACCTGGAAAGGCTGTGAACATGACTTAAGACCCTAGAAGCCTGAACCAAAGATTGCAGACCCACATGGAGATGGCGGGTTACTTCCTGTGCCTGGAGCCCTGGCCCAGCGTGTTGGTCTTTCTGTCTTTTATCAAAGGACTGCACACACCAAGCTCAAGGATAAGTGCTCCTGGGTTTCTAATGGAAAACAGCCGTCCCTCACAGCCCCAACTCCACTCGCTGAAGGCTGTGTTCTCGGCTCCCAGTGGTTTCTTCTGTGAGTTGTACATGCTATTTGCAGGAAGCCAGGGTGGTTGCATCCTGTCCTTTTTGGGTTTGAGGAGCTGTAAGAATTCCCTTGACAAACATGCTATATATTTCTTTGCTCTCTCGCTCCTGTTCTCCTCTCTCTGTCTTGTCAGCTTGGCGTGAAGCTGTCCAATAGTGAAATGAGGGTATGAAACCATAAACCAAGCTGCCACATATTATGGTTCTGAAAACAGAACATAGTGCTTGATTTTGAAATTCGACAAGGCACCTGCTGTGGAGCGTCCCGGTCTCCTGAATCCATAGACGATCGCATCTGTCCTGAAAGTGGAGATGGATTAAACAAGATGTGGCTACATTAACTATGTTATTTTATGACTTTTCTTTTCTCTGTTTGCAAATGTATTTCAAGGAAACTAGGGCCCATGTGATGCACCCATGAGATATAAAACAGGATCTTTCTTGTCCCTAGTACATCGTCACATGCCCCTGGAGAACGCCCTCGTGCTGGTGGCTAAAGAATACAGGAGACTATTTGCAAAACGGGAGCAGCAGGAGCGGGCTGGGGCGGCCCTGAGGGCCTGTGATCTGGTGGATGACTTCCTGGCCCGGGAGTGCCTGCCCCGCTACTCTGTCCCGCTGGGCATTCGGCATCTTCTCTTCCTCGTGAATGAGGGGCGACATCTGTATCGGAATGAGCTGGACCTGCTCATCAACTACCTGAAGACCAGGAAAGGACAGCCGGCAGGTATTTCGGGCTGTCCCATGCCCTTCCCTGTTTTAATCTCCAGAACATCCTTTTACATGTAGGAGAGAAAACTAAGAAATTTTCACTTTGTTGGGAGAATATATCTCTATGACATGAAAGTCTTCTAGATAGAAAAATACTATCTTTATGGACTAACTGCTTCTTCTGAAATTAAATTTTCTTTTGGGCCTGACTTTATAAATAATGTAAATAGGAGGACCTCTCTGTATAAATGGATGTATGGGATGGAGTTATAGTCCCCATTCCCTGAGTTTCATTTTTTCTGATTCTATTTCAGCTTTTCTTAATTGAGACAGTTAAAGATTACCTTTGTGGGTACGGTAACCGTGAAGAACCAGTTCATAATCTTGAAGATTTTAAAGAATAGTCCAGTTACAAGCCAAACTCCTTAAAGTGTAGTGACTTTCCACATTTGCTTGTTTTGAGTAGTGAGAAGAAAATGATAATCACTTTTCCTTGTAGGAAGAAGTAGCTAAAAGTATAGGGTTAGAACTGTTCCAAAAATAAGCAGTAGAAAAATAAAGATACTGTTCATCTTCTAAAATGTAGAATGGCTTTGTTTTCTGTATATTTTTACTCTACTCAGGAGAGTGGGGAAGGAATCCACAAATTCAAAACACAGCAGCCTTTTTATTTACAAAAACTCTAGGCCAGTAGAGGAGGTGATCTTCCTTGAATTGCCTGAATTGTTCTTTGTGCAACTGGCTGTTCTCTGCAGCTGACTTCTGCTCACTTTTATTTTTTTTACTTTTCCAGGCTCTGAGACACTGAGTCCTGTGGCTAGCAGTGGTCATGCCTCACTGCAAGTCAGGAGTACCCCCATGGTGGGCAAGCCGCCTCCACTCCTTCCAAACCCGGGCAGGCGAAACTTCCTTGGGCCTCCTCCCTCCTCTCCTGCCAAGATTCCTTTGCTGGGCGCTCGGCCAGCGGGAGGTCTCCTTCCACCACCAGGTGAGTGCTTCCTTCAGGAATAAGATGGAGCCATAGCTCTCACACTGCCGGGCGAGTTGCCCCGAGAAAGCAGAGCCATTTAGAACAATGTCAGTGTTTATCATGATGCTTCTAATGAAGGTTAAGATTTCAGAAGGGGGCCTTCTGGTGGTGGTGGTGGTGGGGAATTCAGGCTTCAGCACTATCAAGCTATCGGCAGCCACTACAAATGATTTCAAACCTGGCCAGGGAGCTGACCCACATGGCGGGTCCTCTCTTGTCTCGCCTGCTGCTCCCCTCAGCAGTGTAGTTCAGTCCATCTGCCTGTTCTGCTCCCCACTCTCTCTCTGGTGAATCCTCTCACCCTTATAACTCTGGCCTATATTCCAGGTCTATGCATGAATAAATAAAAATATATCTTTAAAAAACATTGCAAAGAGCAGGCGGCCCACTGCTTTGGTGGCAGTATTGTGCATGTCAAGCTCGGCCTGCCTTGAAGAGCCACAGCGCCCTTCACAGTCAGCTTTGAGGTTCAGCATCTGTCTCCTCTCTTCCTGCCGTAGGCCGCACTGCCATGCCTGCTCCTTCCTTTCCTTCTGTGCTCATCCTGGGTGCTCCGGGTGCCTTCGCCAACCCCTTCCTGGTTCACCCGCAGGTCCTGGTCTTTTCCAGTGAGAAGTGAGTGAATGAAAGCCAGGGGCTCAGGAAGAAATCCTTTTGCTCTTAATAGCTTCCCATTCTTGCCTTGAGTTTGCACACGAAATTCCTTCAGACCTTCAAAAAGGCCTTGCTGCTTCAGGGCCTTGCAAGAACTGGGAAGAAATGTCCCCTTGGGTAGGGTAGGGGCTGAGAGCGCTGCAGGGCTCACGGCCACAGGGACGCGGTCGGCTGCCAGATGGAATCCCGAGCATTGTGGGCAGTGCCCAGGTCAGGGTTCTGGTCGGGGGTGCTGATTCCGAGCACCAGGCCGCTCCAGTTGATGTGAAGATGCAGTTGATGTCTAGGAACTTCACTGCTTAGATGTTTGAGAAGGTGTATTCCAAGTGCCAGGACAGAGTGGAACCAAACCCACTTGAGAGAGGGGGGATTGGGGAGCCGGGCAATGAGACAGCACGGATTAGACTAAGGATTTGCAAACTTCTTTTTTTTTTTTTCTTCAACTATTTATTTATTTATGCATACAGAACTGGGGTACAAGCCAGAGGTTCGGGGGATGGTGAGAGGATTCACCAGAGACAGAGTGGGGAGCAGAACAGGCCAACTGACAAAGTACACTGCTGAAGGGAGCAGCGGGTGGCTCAGGAGAGGTCTGCTGTGCCGTGTGGGTCACCCCCCAGGGCCAGGGCTGGGGATCAACTCCCACTGAAGTGGCCTGCTGCTTGCTTGCAATGCTGATTGCAATGCTGTGTCCCAACCCTTCGTGCCACCAGGGAGGATCCAGGATTTGCAAACTTCTTAAAGGACCAAATAGTAAATATTTTATTGTAGGTTTTATGATCAAGAGGCAAAGTCAAAAATATTATGTGTGGGGCCCTCCCTGGTGGCACAACACGTTAAAACGCAGCACTATGAAGCTATCACAGCCACTGAAGCATGAGTTCGATCCCTGCTTCCCCGGAGGTGACTCTCATGGCGCAGCAGACCTCTCCTGACCCGCCCGCTGCTCCCCTCAGCAGTGTACTTCGTTGATCTGCCTGTCCTGCTCCCCACTCTGTCTCTCGTGAATCGTCTCACTGCACCTGCACCTCTGGCCTGTACCCTAGTTCTGTATGCATAAATAGATCTTTACAAAAAAATATTATGTGTATACTTATATAACGGCTTAAAAATGAGAAAGCCGTTCTTCATTTCACACCATAGCAAAACAGACAGCAGGCTGGATTGGCCCCAAGACACTGGTTGGCTCGCCACTGAGGCACAGTCGAACCTCAAAGGGATGTGGTAGAGCTTTGAAGGGCTGAGGTTGGGCCTAGTGTGCCTGGTGACTCTGGTCAGCCCCTCTCTAAGTTGTGGGGAAAGGCCCTTTGGGGACAGCAGCTGGAATCCAGTTTGTGTCTCTCCTTGTTTATGTTTTGGTTTTTGTTCTCTGCAGGTCCGGTCAACACCAAAGGCCTGTTTCCCCCACCCTTGCTTCTGGCAGCCCCTTCCAAAAGGCCTGCTCTTTTGGGGAGCCTCCCCCATAAGCCTGTGAAGCGCCCACTGCTTGGGGAGAAACCAGGCCTATTAGCACCACCACCAGGTGAGTTGCCAGGCGAGTGGCAGGTGGCACATTAGGCTCGTGCCATCGCATAGAACTTCCTGCCGAGACTGCACACTGGCTGGGACCCCGCTCCTATGCTCTCAATCACCACCCGGTGCCAACAGCCCATAAACGTTATCAATTTGAGGTTGCTTTCCAAAGATTCAGATTTTTGCTTGGATTTCACCCATCTCCACAGTCCCTTTTTGACCGATACCAACAGTGTTTTTGTCCCCTTCGCCTGTTCTGGTTGGTCAGTACAAGGACGAGTGCAGAGAAGAGGCATGGCTACGGTGATGCCACCGGGCCTGTGGGAGGAGCTGTTGGAGTAAGTGGAGTATTTGGGGTCCTCCAGGGGTGAGGCTCCAGAATCTCCTTCTGGTGAAAAGGCTCCTGCAGGGCGATAGTTTTTATAACTCAGTGACGGTGAGGGTGGGGCCAAGTGTCCATATTCCGCGGGACTAAGTGAGATAATGTGAAGGAAAGTCTCCAGACGTGCCAGGAATTGCACAGAGGTGTCCTAACAGTGCAGCTGGTTAATCGGATTCTGCCTGCAGGGGTGGCTGTGGCTCGGGGCTCGGGCTCAGCCGCAGAGGCCAGGGAGGCCCCACCTGACGCTGCTGTGTCTCTCCTCCCACAGCTCTTGTGCAGTCCAGGCTGCACAAGCTCACGGCTCAGCCTGCATCTTTGTTGGACTAAAGAAAGCTCTGCCGTGCCAGGAGAACGAGGTGCTCCCCAGAAGGCAGCTCCCCGGATGTGGCTCCACCCTCTTCTTCCATGGACGGAGGCCTCTGCCTGGCCTGCGAGCCCAGTGTCCAGCCAGCGGCACCCTCTGACCCATCCATGGGCCTTTGGAAACTTTTTCATGTTTGGAGTCTTTTTGTACCAAGTTAGACATGTGTGGAAGGTCGCTGTAGACATTGGGTCTTGACGTTGTTCAATTGCATGTATTTTAAAATACAAAAAAAAAAACAAAAAAAAACCCTTCTAGCTTTTAGCTACTGGTTGCCCCCTTTTAAGGTGTGTGTGTGTGTGTGTGTGTGTGTGTGTGCACGCGCGTGAGCGTTTCCATTTTGGAATAATTTTTGATTTACAGAAAATGAGCAAAGATAGCCCAGGAAGCCCTTCAATATTGGGAACCTAATGTTCGCTTGGTAGTGACCAGGCCTCAGTGCCAGGAGTTAGCCGCTCCATGAGCTCTGTGTAGACGTCACCCGTGCACACCAGTTTTCCCTTGAGCGTTGTCTTTCTGCTTCAGGACCTTACTCTGGTACCTGAGTACCCAGAGTTGCATTTAATTTATTTTAACTTTATGATGTAGCTGTTTTTTTATTATGGAATATTGTCAATATACAGAAAATTTGAATGAATAGTGCATTCAACAGTTGTTAACATTCTGCCATTTGTAAGCTTATATATGTATGTAAATAAACTTTTTTCTCAACCATGTTAATAATAAGTTGTGGAGTTCATGACATGTTTCCTTTAAGTGCTTTAGGCTACAGGCCCCAGATAAGGACATTCTCTTCTATAACATTATCGCATCTTAAAAGTTAATGTTTCGGCCCTCCCTGGTAGTGCAATGGTTTAGGACGTAGCACTGCAAGCTAGCGGCAGCCACTTCACTGTGAGTTCAGCTGCCCCGGAGATGACCCACAGGGCCCAGCAGACCTCTCCTGTACCCCCACTGCTCCCCTCAGCAGTGTACTTTGTCAGTCTGCCTGTTCTGCTCCCCCTTTGTCAGTCTGCCTGTTCTGCTCCCCACTCTGTCTCTGGTGAATCCTCTCAGCCCCTGCACCTCTGGCCTGTACCCCAGTCCTATATGCATAATAGATAAATAAATCTTTAAAAAATGATTTCTATAACCACTAATATCTGGTTTCCATATTTGAATTTTTCCTATCATTCCAAGAATGCATTTATGGCCTTTTTAAAACCAGGATTTAAGAAGACTTACACATTATGTGTGCTTTGCATGTGTGTGTAGTTTCTTTGTTGTTGATTTTTACTGCACAAGTGTAAACTTAACTCTGTAACCCAGCTGGCTTGGAAGGCAGTAGGAAAATGTGGAACCCAGAGAACGGTGGGGATCAAAGCAGGAAGATCATAGGGTATTTCGAGCAGTTGGGGATGAAGAGGGCTCTCTCTTCTTTCTGCTTCTGTTCTATACTCCGCATAAGTCGGATCATATAGTACCTCTTTTGCCATGTCTAGCTTACTTCACTTAGCATAACGTCTTCCAGCTTCGCCCACGTTGTCGCAAATGGCAGGGTTTTCTTTTTGTGGCAAATGATGTTCTACCACATACACATGCCAGGACTTTGGGGCCAGTGACAGACCTGGGACATGACAGGGCTTCACAGGCCCTCACAGTGTTGTGGGTCACTTGTATGACTTTCACCCAGCAACAAAACCGCCTAACACACACTCCTCAGAAACCACTCTGGTCCTTATGCAACACGCAACTGTATAGACCATGACTTCCTTTTCCCTTCATCCATCTTTGGACACTTAAGATGTTTCCACTAGGTTGCTGTTATAAATAACACTGCTCTGAACATGGGGGTGCAGATCGCTCGTTGACATAGTGTTTTCATTTCCTTCAGATGTATTCCCAGAAGTGGAATTACTGGATAATATGGTAGTTCTATTTTTAATTTGTTAAGGAGCCTTCATTCCGTTTCACACTGTTTTCATAGCAGCTGCACCGATTTATAATCCCACCAAAGGTGCACCAGGATTCCCTTTTTGCTATGAGCTCGCCAGCATTTGTATTCTCCTATCTTTTCCGTACTAGCCATTCTAATAGGTGTGCGGAGACGTCATGGCTGAGATTTGCACTTCCTGATAGTGATGTGAGTAGCTCTTCATGGGCCTGTTGGTCATTCATGGCTCTTTTTTTTTTTCTTGAAAAAAAGATTTATTTATTTATGCATACAAAAACTGGGGTGCAGGCCAGAGGTGTGGGGGTGTGTGTGAAAAAATTCACTAGGGACAGAGTGGGACGCAGAACAAGCAGATCTACTGAAACCCACAGGAGAGGTCTGCTGCGCCATGTGGGTCAGCTCCCTGGCTGGGATCTTAATTCTGCTGAAGCAGCCGTGGGTAGATTCGCAGTGCTGCACTTTAACCCTTTGCACCACCAGGTGGGGTCCCCATTCATGTCTCTTTTTTGAAAAATATGTCTTCTGATCTTCTGCCCATTCTAGATAAAAACTTAATTTTTTTCACTAAAGATCTAGTAGTGCATTACATGTTTTGAATATTAACCCTTTACCAGATGTATGGCTTGCAAACATCTTTTTCTCCATAGACCACATTTTTTGTCTGTGGACATTTGCACCGTTTTCTGGGAGGACTGATGTAATAAATCGTCCCTTCAGTGAGGCTCATGAGCTGGGCTCCAGGAGGCCAGGGGCCCAGTCTCATTCTCCAGCCTGAGCTCCCGAGAGTGAACACCTGGCTTAGCTGTCTAGGAAATGTGGTTTCTTCTCCATGCCCCCTCAAGCCTGTGTCCCCATTTGCTTGGACCCCTGCAGTCACCCCTTCACTGGCGCCCTCTCTCAGGCCCTCTTGACTGCCACCTCCACTCTTTTGCTATGATACTGAGTCAGTGTTCCGGAGGCTGTAAGTCTCACCTTGTCACTCTTGCGAGTGCCCCACCCCCACCCCTGTGGCCTTCATCAGCCACAGGAGTGTTTATCAAATAGAGTCACAGGCCTCTGGGAATCTTCAAACATGCAACAAGGTTACTGAGTTCTACAAGGATCTTTTTTTTTTCTTTTTTTTTTTGTAATTTGGTCTTAATGATAACCTTTAAGGCACTTTAAATATGAACTTTTACTGGATTACCTGGATCAGTAATGCAATTTCAGTGCTTACATTTCTCTTTGGTTTGCTTTGGAACCAAGGGAACATTCGATCTTCGATCTGGTAGGGTTGTAACGGTTCATGCGGTGTGTTACCAGTCTGTGTGTGTGTGTGCATCTTTGTGTGTTTGCAGTCTAGGAAAGCACTGGGCAGTGGGCTCACGGGTAAGTCCATGAGCATTTATCTCGCCGATGCTGGCAGGAGCCACCTGGCTCTTTCCCTGACCACCTATCTGTCCCCAGGGACCGCCTTTTTGTGAGCCCAGTAGGTGACCAGTACACATTTGTCACATGACTTCCTTAGACCCAGGCTTTTTGTGGTCACAGCACATGACCTTTGAACGTTCTTTGGTTGTGTTGGGTTCTGCATCATAAGGGGCAAGAGCCGTGTGGAGCTCAGTATTGTTAGCATCTTCCCACAAATACCATTGGTGCTCAATGAGCCTTTCCTGGTTTCGCTTCAAGACTGTGACTTAGGGTAATGTTCTTCCCATGTGGGCAAATATTTTAAAAGACAAAACCAAAACTGTCAAGATTTCAAAGAAACATTGCTGGCAAGTTATTTTACAGTTTTCTTTAAAATACGCTTCAGGCGGAGATAGCTTCGGAGTGTTTGCTGAAATACGGTGCTTGAGGGCCCTCCGTGGTGGCGCAGCGGGTTAAAGCACAGCACTGAAAAGCTAAAGCCACTTCCGCATGGGTTCGATCCCCACCTGCCCCGGAGGAGACCACATGGCGCGGCAGACCTCTCCTGACGTCTGCTGCTCCTCTCAGCAGTGTACTTCGTCGATCTGCCTGTTCTGCTCCCCACTCTGTCTCTGGTGAAGCCTCTTGCCACCCCTGCACCTCTGGCCTGTACCCCAGTTCTGTATGCAGAAATAAATATTAAAAAAAAAAAAAAAAGATGGTGTTTGAGTTCTTGTGGACGGGCCTGGACACAATGCAGCTCTCCGGGAGTTACCCTCCTGGTGAGGGCTGCGCTGCCTGCCTGCACCCTTACCCATATTGCGATGACTGGTTAGGCTTCCTCTGCATTCTGTTTTTCATACCACACCCCTCCACACACAGCATGTCTGCTGCATCTGTCCCTCCAGCCCTTCTCTTTGGCTGCCAAATGGATCCACCCCTCTGTCCTCCTCTGCCCACTCACTGTATGATGCCTGAGTTCCCTGGGGCCACTGGGCAAATGAATTGGCTTGAACTTGAACCCTCTTCTCTCTCCTGTGCTTGTTTGTGTATGATAAACTTTCTGAAGATGTTTGAAAGGTAAATGTTTGAATTGCACGTCCTTATTTGATCGACCTTTTGCACACCCTCCACCGTCAGGCGAGTGAGGGGCTGCCTGTCTGGCTAGACCAGGGTGGTGGCAGGAGGGACGCTGAGGGTACTTGCAGGAAGGTGCCTCCTGCAGAGGCTGGCTGTTTAGAGAGCATAGACAGTAATTCAAGGGGAGTCTTTTGCTAGTAGCATCCTGCATTGTCTCTCCTGAGAATTAAGATGAAGGGCACTGTCACCCCTGGGGTTCTGTTGTCTCAGATCTGGCACTTGAGCGGTGATAGTGACAACCCTTTCGTGAAAATAGTATTTTTTACTATTATAGGTGTAATAAGACATTCAAGGCAGAAAACTTGGAAGACTGAGAAATATCTCAAGTAAACAAGACATAATTTCCACACTCTGAGGTGGCTGTGATCCCTTCCCCACATTTGTGGATTTATTTTACAAATGTAGCTTCCAGATTCCTTCCCGTCTCAATAGAAAATGAACATCTCACCACGTCAGTATTTATCCTTTTACCATAGGTAGATAGCACATTTTACTTAACCAATCCCTTGCTGGGCATTTAATTTGGTTCTAATTTTCTGTTATTAAAGTTCTTTCCTGATAAACATCTGTATTCACGCATCTTCTCTGGCACCCTCTGTAATTTCCTGAGGACAAATTCTGAGAATTCTTGAAACAAAGGGAATGTACATTTTGAACAGCAAAATAAGAACAGAGTGACCTAATAAATGTTATTCATGTAGAAAATTAAAGTTTGATCTACAATCCCACAATCTGGAAATAATGTTACTGAGCGGGGCAACTGTCCTTTCCGGTCCCTTTCGGCTTGGGTACACAGGGCGCCGTGACAGAAGCGCAGACTCTGGGGACCCCCCTCTGGGTTCTGGTCCCTGTTCGCTCTCCTACCATTTGTGCGACCGTGGCAAGTCACAAGAACTGGCTTTGCTTCAGTTTTCTCAGTCTGCAAAATGGGGACAGTAAGAGTCCCACCTCAAAGTTATAATAAATGAAAGGAGTCATTAAATGTAAGTGACTTAGAATAGCTTTGGGTGTGTGGCAAGTAACTTAGCAGTGTTTGTTTTGTTTCATCATCTAGTTTTTCACTCCACAAGTCACTGTATAGCAATGAATATGGACACAGTA